GTTTGTGGTTTAGCACCCTGTTTGCTTTCCCTGTGCCCACTGGCATGCCAGTGGCAGGTGTTGAGGAGACTGTGGAAACTGTGTTATAGTGTTGGGAGTTCAAAATACCTTTGAGGAGGGAAAGGCAGAAATTGGYCCCTCAGAATGGCACTGAAGCTGATAATGAAAAATACATTCCAAGTGTTGGTGCTGGAAAAGGCAGAGGTTTAATTTTTACTTTTGTCTCTGACAGTTTCTCCAGTTGCTAAATGTAGGGAAGGAAAATCATCACCGACAGAGCAGTCCCTGCAGACCAGGCTAACTCACAGCAACATGACTTTTTGATCTGATAATCTTCAAAAAGGATTAGTGACTGACTTTGGTTTAGRAGATTTGTTTGAACATTAATTAGTTATTAACCAGCTCTTTGCAGGATCTGTGCTGGTTTTGTGTTCAGGTGTGTGCCRTCCCTCACACCGGGATCCTGATCCTCGGGTTCCCCAGATGCCACTGCCGTGACCTGGCTGTAAATAGGAGATGTGATTAAAGCAGGGCCTGTCACCTTGGCGTGTGAGCTCCTTGTCCGGGCAGAGATGAAAGCTAATCCTCAGTCTGATCCTTGTGCCAGGTGTGAGCGCAGACGGGCGAGCGCAGGTCACTGTCCTGCTGAGGGTGAGGGTGAGGTGGTGCCCGGTCCCTCCTGCGCTCTGCTCTGCTCTGAGTGTGCTCTGAGTGTGCTCTGAGTGTGCTCTGCTCTGCTGTGAGTGTGCTCTGAGTGTGCTCTGCTCCGCTCTGAGTGTGCTCTGAGTGTGCTCTGCTCTGCTGTGAGTGTGCTCCGCTCCGCTCTGTGTGTGCTTTGAGTGTCCTCTGCTTTGAGTGTGCTCTGTGTGTGCTCTGAGTGTGCTCTGCTCTGCTCTGCTCCACTCTGAGTGTGCTCCACACCACTCTGCTCTGCTCCACTCTGAGTGTGCTCTGCTCCACTCTGCTCTGCTCCACTCTGAGTGTGCTCTGGGCTCACTCCCGCTGTGCTCAAAGAGCAATGAGAACATGGAGTCACGGCTCTTCCGCCACCCAGCACAGGCCGAGCTCAGCAGCCACCGCAGAGCTGTGGGTACAAACTGCAGCCAGTTTTTAGTGAGTGCAGGGGAGGGTCCTTGCTGGGACACATTCCATCCCTTGGGATGACAGGGGAGACCCCAAAGCTGTGTCTGAGTGTATAGACAGGGGAGACCCCAAAGCTGTGTCTCGGTGTAGAGACAGGAGAGACCCCAAAGCTGTGTCTGACTGTATAGACAGGGGAGACCCCAAAGCTGTGTCTCGGTGTACAGACACAAAGCTGTGTCTCGGTGTATAGACAGGGGAGACCCCAAAGCTGTGTCTCGGTGTA